AAGTGCATTAGTAAAAAATTTTTTTAAAAAATATAAGAAATAAAATAAGTATTAAGACATAATATATACAAATTTTATAATTTTTAGCTGTATATTTTGTACTAAGCAATCTATTGATATAATAAATGAATTAAGGATTTAAAAAAATAGATACTGCCGATACTAAAAATGATTTTTTTTAGTAATTATTTCGGTTATTCACAGACGGTAATTGCTTTTGACTGTATATAGCAATGTAATATATAAGTACACCAATCGTTGTTTTTAATCATAACAAATATTATATACATACAGTATAATTATCGAACAAGGTCACATAAGACAGCTCTTTAAATCAATGCCAGAATTTTTAAATTATTTATCATTGGCCTCTAAAGTTCAGCATCAACAGCCAAGCTCGGACGAAGACACAAACTCTAACAAAATTCACTCACGTAGAAGAAGCTCCCTGGCTCTGGAAAAGGCCGAAAAAGGTTCCAAGGAGGATCAGTTGGGAGGTAAAAGTGACTTCAAGATGGTACCGAAGAAACAGAAAAACAGAATGTGGCTCCGTACTTCAGCATTAGTGCTGACGATTTTATTTCTGATATGGTTCTTCACTCGAGACTTTACCGAATCTGAAGGTAATCTATAATGTATATTAGAAATTTAGACATAGACATATCACGAAATTTTACTTATTAGACGTAAATTTTCTAGAGAACTTATCTGATAATAAGGAATTTATGGCAGCCGTAGAACAGATAACAAACGATGCAAAAGAATCTCCTGTTTTGCATTCAGTACCCGACACTTCCAACATATCTCCTAAACTCAAATCCGCACATTGCACTGTTCCACATCCGGGACGTCCATTAATTCAATATGCATTGATGCTTGACGCTGGGTCCACAGGCTCACGTATTCATGTGTATCGATTTAATTATTGTAAAGATTCTCCCGAATTAGAAGATGAAGTTTTTGGTCACACCCAACCAGGACTGTCTTCTTATCCCGATGACCCTATGTCCGCTGCGAAAAGTTTAGATGTGTTGCTAAAATTAGCATTAGAAAGTGTTCCCGAAGAATTATATAATTGTACACCAGTGGCGGTTAAAGCAACTGCTGGATTACGTTTATTAGGCAGATCAAAAAGTGAGCATATATTAGAAGCCGTACATGAACATTTGAAAGTTAATTATCCTTTTCCTATAGTTGAAAATGATGGTGTGGTGATTATGGATGGCAAAGATGAAGGTGAGTTACGTATGAATATATTAGTGATCCTCCACCAAAATTATTAATTGAGCATTGTCCTTGATTTTTGAAGGTGTATACGCATGGATTACTGTAAATTACTTATTAGGGAGAATTGGTGCATCGAAGAAGTTACCTACTGCTGCAATTTTTGATCTTGGCGGAGGTTCAACTCAGATTGTTTTTGAACCAGAAATGGCGGACGGCAGCGAAGTTGCGCATGGAGAGCACCGATATGAGTTGTGGTTTGGTGGTCACAAATATGTTCTCTATCAACATTCATATTTATATTATGGGCTTATGGAAGCAAGAAAGGCAATAAAGAAATTTATGGCAGAAATTTGGCATCTCGCTTCTAATGATAAAAAACTCGATATACCTGGAGTGGCAGCATCAGATCTTGAAGAAAATCATGTTCCGCATCCTTGCCTTCCAAAAAATTTCACGGAACTATTGTATCCAAATGATACCGTGACTCTTTTTGGAACCGGTGCCGGACATGCTCAGTGTCGGTTTATTGCTGAACAAGTGCTCAACAAAGAAAAAACATGCCCAATCTCACCATGTGCATTTAACGGAGTATATCAACCATCACTCAGGGATACATTTTCGGTGGATGATATATATGCGTTCTCATACTTTTATGATAGAGTCAGTCCGTTAGGGATGCCTAATGAATTTTCACTTCGAGAACTTAGGGATTTAACTGATGCTGTATGTGCCGGAAATACAGATCAATTTGCACACTTGCCAGAAGCTATGAAGGAAATCAAAAAGAATCCACATTATTGCATGGATCTAACATTTATATACGGATTGTTACATATTGGATATGAAATTCCACTAGAAAGAGAATTAAAAATTGCCAAAAAGATAAGAGGCATCGAGACTGGATGGTGTCTTGGTGCTACAATTGCAATATTAGATCGAAAGTCATGGTGCAAATAATAGCAAGTTTGGATAATGTTAGTGTGTATAATTATTAGATAAATTTGGATATCCAAAATTTCAAACAAATTTTGTATTAATCCGCCATAATATTATTAACAGCATGTTAAAATAAAAAAAAAACTAAATAGATTTGGACCAAATATTTATTATTAGGTTATGATAATTCTTACCTAGAAAGACGTTATTTACCTACGGGTTGGGTTATAAAGTATAATAAATGCGTGGATGCGGATTGAATCTTATTAATGAGAATATAATATTATAGTTAAAAATATATTCCTTTATTATGTGTAGCATAGCTTTTAAATAAACCTTTAATTTTAGCTTCTCAAATCTAAATACTATATACTATTTATTAACTTGAATTTTCATAAAATTATTTAAATAATATAAAATTTAAAATTATATTTCTTAATTTATAATTTTTTAATTTATAATCTTATAATTTAAGATAGATTTATTTTTATTTTTTATTAGCAATCATGTTATCACGATGTCTTTATTGAGACATTAAATAAATATCTATAAATTTATATAAACTATTTACATGACATTTAACTTGTCATTATACATTATTAGTTGAAGGATTACATTATTTTAAAAATATAAGTCCACTAAACTAGTTCAAACTAAACTAAACAAATTCTTAACTAGATATCTAAGTCAGATTTGAAAAACTATGTTTTACTTTCCTGTTAGATTGATACTAATAATCTCTATTAATTAGAATTATCATCAATGGTTTATTGTTATAGATTAATTTGAAAATAATAAATTGCTAAATTAAAAATTTTTTTTTTTTAACTCTAGGTCAGGTTAGTACATATGCTTTATTAAACATTTTGTAAACTGTACATATTAAATGAAGCACTAAAACTAAATCTCTAACAAGCTCACACATTTTGGTTATATTACCTCTCTAAGTGCAACTTCGGAAGTGATTTATCGCTCCATTAGAGGTTTAGGTGAAAACCCTTTCAACTTCTAATATCATTGTTTGCAGATCACTACTGTAAATCACTTTTTTAAGCTCTGACAAAGATTAAAATCCCAACCACTTCATACCATATTTCACTTCATTTAATAGGATTTCTTTCAACTTCTTGTCTTCGACTCTTTTTTCTTAATATATCAGTTTCTTTCTGGATCGACTTTCAGTGATTTTATTCATCTTTTCCTAATCACATGGATATAACGGTCTTGTTTTCTTGTTATATTTGCAGATTCCTAACTTCTGTTCCCATTCAATCACCTTTTCACATCTTGTATTCCATATTTTCTTTCGGAAGTAATTACATACTTTTTCTTGCATCTTCATTATCCATTTTCTAGCTTCTTTTCCAATTATCTTGCCATGACATGTCAAATCTGCTATATTGATAACTAGTTCTTCCTCTATTAGTCCCATACAGAAGCTAAGTGTGTCCTAACTGGTTTTTGAGCATCTTTCTATCAGTTTTGCAATCTGTTTATCGATTTCTCCCATTTCTATTCTATCATTTATTCTCAAGCTTAGCTCTTTCTCTTCAAATTCTATTTTCCTTTCTTTTAAGAGCTTTCTAAATCCTTTCAAAACTCCTTATATTCCTTTCTGCCATGCCTCATTCCACTGAGTCTTGTAAGTTGTGCATTCTAGCAAGTGTTCTGTCATTTTCTCTTCCTGGCTACACATAATGCATTTCACTTGCTTGAAAGGTCTGGTCTTCTTATGGCCAGTTTTGTAAGTGTTGGTAGCTCATCATTGATTAGTTTAGTGAGAAAGTTTTTGTTTTGTGAGCTTTTAAATAAGGTATTTCATGTGTGTCCCTTATTAAAGTATTTCTATACAAGGTTCCATGTGTATCTATGATGGTTTTGGATTTGTTGATCCCATATTCTTTCAATTCTACCTTGTGTAGTCCATTGGTAGGCTGTTACTTTGTTATTAATTTTTTTAATAGTTTGTCTTATTAATATCTAGCACTATATTTTGCCATTTAATTTCTGTGATTATTTTGGGCAAGACCAATTGTTTCCATTTTATTACTGGAAATCTTAGTGCTTCTTTGGCTAGAACATTTGCCTCTTCGTTATATTGAATATTGGAATGTGCCTTGACCTTGGTAAGCTTGAGATCCAGCTTTTTTTTCTTTACAAGATCCAGCATAAGTACTCACAGGGACCAGTTTTGTTCTTTTAACCATCTTTTGTAAGTCATCTTGAGATCCTCCTTTTCTATAGTTTTTCATCTTGAGATGTAGGTTTGGCTGTCTGTAAAGATTTCGATCTTGCTATCTACTGGGGCTACTAGTAGTATAGTAACTATTGCTACTAGTTCTACTCTAGTGGATGAAGACCAATCCTCTATTTCAGTTTGGAACTTGCTTTCTCTTTCTGCTTCTCCTATTTGTATCCATGCTACTTCCATTCTCATATTTGTACTTCTATGATTAATAAGGGACCTATTGGAATAGAATGTTATTGGTTTTTTTCTTTGCTTGTTGTGATTGAGTATTTGATCAGATGGAATTGGTAGGTACCTTCTTCAATGTGATCTTTGATGATATTTATTTCCCAATCCTCTATCTCCACTTGTAATACTCTTTCGTTCTAGATAGTTACTTGATCACTGTATATTGTTCTACCTATTATATCTTCTAATGCTTCTCTTGAACTTGAAATTTCCAGTGATTGGGATCTTCTGGTGAACTTTCTTGCATTGAAATAGGGGACCATATGTATTTTTTCTATACTAGTTTTGATTATACATTGGTCTTTTATTTTTATACCTTCTATGCAACCTTGACATTGGGTTAGCTTTGATTCTCGGTTTTTAATAGGGCTAATACATTCGAAGTATTCTATCTTTAGTAGTTTTGAAGTATTATCCAGAATCAATTTTCCCCAAATTATCTGTTACTGTTGAAATTTGCTTCTTGTAACTACCCAGGGTTTCTGGCATTTGTCAAAGTTGATATCGAGAATGAGATGTCTGGAGTCCATTTTATCTATTCTTCTTTTTAGGATTCTATGAATTGTTTTAATTTATTTTCTTGCATTGTCTTGGTTATAAATAGGTACCATTCTGGAATAGGTCCTTTGCTTGTTTTCTGTAGCAGTTGAAGCATTTGCCAGTTTTGTAGTTCTCTTGTTTCATAATCAACAAGCTGATCTATATATATTAGTTTATTGTTTTTGAGTAATGAAATTGCTTTCTTATACTCTTCTATTGGCAGGTATTCTTTAATTGAACTATTTCCTTGGTTTCACTTGAAAATGTCATTCCATTTCCAGCTTTGAAAGATTATGCCTATGTCCTTAGTCAGCTTTAGTACTTGCAGAGAAAAGTTATCTTTTTCTGGAATATTATTTAGTGAGTCACATGTAAGCATATTGACAAGCTTCCAGTATCTAACTTATGCTTGCTTAAGTCTAATGATTGTTATGATTCCGGCTGGTCCTGGATCATTTAATCTATTGCACAATCCTATTATCTGACTTTTTTCTGTAACATTCAAACACTTTTTAAGTTGTAAATCTTGGGATAATATATTACACTATTCAGTATTGTTCTATATAACATGGCCTTATTTTTGAACAGTTTTTTATATGCCATTGTTAAAGTGTTGTACATCTTCCAAGATAGTATACTGTGTTGCATTCTAAATTCGATTCTTGATATTAGTACTCTATTCAGAATATAAAGGGCTTGTTTGTCTGTTAGCTTTTTATTCTTCAGAGCTCTAATAACCATATTGATTTCCTTAAGCAATCCTTTTTTTGAGCTCAACAACTGTTTTTTGGTTGCCTGTCCAAATCCCTAGGAATCTTGCTTGTTCAGCTCTATCCAA